CAGTGTTATTCTTTGCGCCGTCTTAATTTTCCCTTTCTCTCACCGGAGAATGAGTACTACGGCTACTCCTCCGCCGCGAAACCAGTCGAGGGTTGACCCGAAGAACGTAAACAGAGCCGTGAAGTCTCTGCAGAAATGGTGGGACTCCAAATCAAAGACCCAGAACTCTGGATCTATCGATAACGATGGGTTCGTCTATCTAATCGTGACCTTGAAGAAAATCCTCCCTATGGATCGTACAAACCCAGTGATGATCCCTGTTCCTCATCCTCTCATCGATCTGAACGGAGATTCTTCGCCGGATCTCTGTTTGATTATCGACGACAAACACAAGAACAAAATCACAAAGGAAGCAGCCTTGAAGAAGATCGAAGCAGAGAAGATTCCAATCAGCAACGTGATTAAGGTCTCGAAATTGAAATCCGATTTACGCAAATTAGAAGCGGAGGAGAAGAGGATCGAGTTGTATTTCGCCGAGAGGAGGTTATTGCCGGTTTTGCCGAAGCTATTGGGGAAAGATTTCGTGAAGAAGAAGAAGAATCCGATTGCGATTAATCTGAGACAAGGTAATTGGAAAGAACAGATTGAGAAAGCTTGTGAATCGGCTTTGTTCTTTATGGGTACAGGTACTTGCAGTGTTGTGAGAGTAGCGAAATTGTCAATGGGAAGAGAAGAGATTGTGGAGAATGTGATTGCTGTTATTAATGGGATCTCTGATTCGATTCCTGGTAAATGGAAAAATGTTAAATTGTTTCATGTCAAGTTGCTTGAGAGCTTAGCTTTGCCTGTTTATCAATCAGTTCCAGATATGGAGCTCGAATCCGATAACTTAGTCTAAGAACTACATATGAGAGAATCTCTGGTTACAAATTTTGGGATTTTTCTCTTATATGAATATGATGCTGTAATGTGTTTAAATTATGCTTGGACTGAACAAAACTGTTTAGAATGATTAGAAGTATGCAGCAGATGAGATTTTTTAATGGTGAAGAAGAAACACTTTCTTTTGAATTTCTGGTATTTTTGGCTTCCCTGATCTGTAAATCAGTTTTGAGCAAGCAGACATAATCACATGGATTCTCTAAGAAATTTTTGGTATATTTGAACCTTCCAAGCTTTCTTTTCCAAATGGCAACTTTGGAAGTTTACATTGACACCATTTCGTCATTAGAGCTTCAAAAAACAAAGATACAAGTTCGGAAATCAAATTAGATAGGAAACCGGAAGAGAGGTAAAAAGAAATGTCAGCGGTGTGCTGTGCAGACAATACGACGATAGATTCAGATCCGTCCTACGATCAAATAAAACCCTTACTGCTGAACGCTGTACTGTTTCTAAATTAGGTTGAAGTGACTTTAGAATGAACAAAGAAAACTATTGAATACAAGAAAACAAGAAGGGGATGATGACATTATGATGGATTCACAACATCATCTAAGCAATGGTGTTCAATCTTATTTCATTTGATTGAGCATTTATGTGATTTTGGTTTGAGATGATTGTCGGTAAACATCGAATATCGACTTTGGGAGTAGGAATGCAGAACCGCCTGGCACACTAAATCCGAGCTAGGATTTCCAGCTTGGTCCTCCAAATTATGTTGCTTAGAAATACTTTAGTCCAAACTCGGGATTCATAAGCCTTCAGATATTACAATGTCTAGTTTTCTCTACCAAAAGAATAACGGAGCAAATAAATTGAATGTAACATATGTAACCTAATAAAAAAAAAAAAAATCATCATAGTGACATATTTTGACTCCTTTCAACATAAAACTGTGATCTTTAATTTCGGAAAAAAAAAATTCAGAAAAATATGTGTAGTGAAAAGAACCCATCATTAATAATTCAATACGGTATTGTCTTTTTTTTATTTGTCTATAAAAAACACTTATTAATCAATGATGAAAGCAAAAGGAACCCAAACTTTTTTGTTTATAGAAATTTAATGGTTGCAAATGACTTAGTTTCATACCAAAATTGGGAAAATATGATTGAGAGTGTGACTCCATTTGATGTCTTATTCCCCTACTATAATAATAACCTCCTCGAGTATTATTTAATGGAGTTTGTATTGTACCTTAGTTAATTAGGTATCATTAATATTGCCTAATGAAGGGTTTGGTATTATCAGAAATTTATTCAGTGCTTATCTAATTAAAAAAGGGAAGGTTTATAATTGGAGCGTTACACTCACGCGCTTTAGTCTCCAGTGGGTCCCTCCTTTGTCTTTGATCCCATTTCTGAAATTTAGACACAAAGGAAACAATAGTCTTTACTCTTTGTTCAGTGGGT